GCTTTATTGAGTCAAAGACGCGCGGCTTGCATTTTACTTTTCTTGCGCACTGTCTTTGGATCGATGACACGAGTGCCCGTAACATAATTAACCTTTTAGCTCCCCGAAGCCTTTCAACTTCGTTTGAAACTAAAATAATTACAGTTTATATAATTATTAGTTTATATAATTATGGCACGCGGTAAAGGGTTGATACGAAGATTCATGTAATTTGTGTCAAGAGCGAGGCATGGGAGCTGCCTCGCGCGCACAGAAGGCTTTGTTGCGAGAATTTGTTTCGCCGGGCGCTCGTCTCCCGTTCTCCAAAGACACCCCGTATCCGTACGAGCTTCATTATGCATTTGGTTCCTCGACAGGCGGGATGCTTTCCTCGTCTCCCGTGCATTTCGCGTTGTACGTTCACATCAATGTTTCATGAGACATTCGTTACTTCTCGGTTGCGAGGAAGCCACGATCGGCCCCTCGCCTCGTTCCGATTTTATCCTCGCGCCATATTTCAAGAGCGACGCGCGAAATTTTCTGCACACTCGCGATGATCAATGGCGAAAGAACTCGTTCTGTTTGTTATTTCGACGGAGAGGAGAGGTCGACGTGGACGAGTCCTCTCGTCTTGACGCGCGCCCGACGGTCGATACGTCACGTTATTTTTTACGTTAACGTCACGCCAGACCGCGCGTCAGGAATCTCTCGATCGTGTTTTAATAAGCGACAAGCGGAATTCCTTGCCCTGCTCGAACCAAATGAGTACATGAATGAGTACATCTCAAGATTCCGCGGGTGAGAGTGCTCTCTGTTAGCGTGGTGACTCACAATCAATTCACAGCCAATTAGCGACCATCCACGGAAGTCTTCGACGAGATGACGTAACGACGAATTATCACGATTGATTATTGGCAAAATTGGCAGATATCAGCGTTGTTCAAGTTCATTAGGAAATAGAATTTTTTCTGGAAAGGATGTCTGCCGGTTTTGCCACATGTCAAATAATTTGTCGTAACTTAAACGTAACGTCGATGTTCCGTGACGGTGTATCGATAAAATCATCTCCGTTGCTATAGCAAGCTGAAGGGGGATTACGCCGTAATCAATGTTCTTCGTATCGTATGTGCCCGTAATTCAATGAATTCCGCGACTACGATTAAACCATTACGTTACTCGCATTAACCATCTCTCTAGTGATGCGAAAATTTGAAAGAATCGATTCTGACATTCGATTTTTTTCTTTTTACCGAATTGATTTTTAGAATCGATGCATCGATTATAAAAAAAAAAAAATTAGATTCTCTTAGGCTGACCTGACGCTACGGTGCTGAATTTTATCGTCAAACTCAGATCATGTGATCAAAAATGATCATTCAGATTTCACTATTCTGTTTAATTTTGATCATGTGATCTAGTTTGACCCTAAAATCCAGCCAGGTGAAAACACACTTTTAAAGCTGCTACTTTTTGGAAAAGCGAGGAAAATTTGGTTAATGTAATAACGAGAAAAGAAATTGAAAAAATTAGAGAAATTTCCAAACAAAATTCAAAAATCTTATTTAATAATATGAAATGAGAATCAAAGAATCGATTCTTTAAAGAAGGAAATCGATTCAATAAGAATCAAGATTAAAAAAAAATCGATTATTTATTGTTTCAAAATAATCGATTTTTCAAGAATCGGAAAAGAATTTCGCATCGCTACGTCTCTCCTTAGTCTTAGTTTCAACGGGGCTTTCGAGTGCGCAGTTTCAGCCGTCGTATCGAGCTGCGATGTTAAAGTGCACTTTTGGGGGGTGGGACACAGGGTCTCTCGCGTTAATCGCGTAAATGTGCGCTCGTAATGTTGTGGCACATCATTCGGGGACCTCCGCCATGGATTTTGACACGTCCGACGGATGAAGCACGTCCAGTTCGTCGAAAATGTTCCGTGCACACGCACATTCCTCGTTCGAGTGAATCGGCTCTCTCCGATGCCCGATGCCGTGATATCTGTCAACAAAACGCATTCTTCCTTCGGTGAATCATGCCGCAGTCTTCCGACACAAACGGAAAGACCAAGTCAGTAGACACCAGTAGAATAAATTCCACGCGGCTGCGTGTTCCTAAGATAAAAAATTGGATACAGCACCTTGGGAAGCGACGAATTAACGAGGAATTTTCTTAGCGTTGAATTATTGCGAGACGACTCGAACAGATTCTATTATAAACGATTCTATTATAAACGGAAGATATCTTGAAATAGAAATACAAATCTTCAGATTGATCAGATTGATTTATTATTCACGTTACTAGCCAATTTTTGTTCTTAATCAATGCGAGTTACACCGCCGGCTAAAGCAAATGAAGCGGCGCGATTATCGGTGTAATAATGGATATTCAATTATCTTGGCTAGCTTGAAAGGATCATTTAATTCGATAAGATATCGGAAGCTTCAGTCTCGAGTTTACTTTGCTCGATAAATACACTTTGCACAATGCGCTAATCGTTATTTCCGAAGAGTGCTGTATTCGAGGGAATCACCAGAAAGGATCTGTTAGCGATTCACTTTTAGCTCGCATTGCCCTCCTGGCGATTTTTTATCCTTCTTACGCGAAGTCCCCCATCGCTTTATGGAGTTTCATCGTTCGAGCGTTCGGACGTTACGTAAACTCCATGGGCGACATAGAGCTTGACGTTAAAGGGCTGTTTCGGTCGTGTGTAGAAAAATATTGGAAAATCGCGCGCACGAGAACATCGCCTTCGCTCGTGCGACAAATTGAACGGATGAAATGTATCGTGTTTCGATAGATAATAAGTTACGTATTCTTTTGGGGAGATGCTCGGAACACGCGGAATTTATTGCAATGATCTTTTTGTTCGCGTATCGGCAAATGGACGGCAAAGTTATTTTCATTCACGCGAATTACAAAACTCGCAGAGCTGTCGCAGCGTCCGTCTCGATGTCCACGCGGTTCGTCGCGGATATTTTAAGCTCGCGTCGATAAAACTTTTCGGTTATCAGTTTTACGTGCCGGGCTGCACCTGCAAGTTACATGGGATGGTTAATAGATCTCTTCGTTTTAAAGATTAAAAACTTGCTTGATTAACGGCGTTTAGCGCACTTCGTTAGCAATTGAAATATCCTCCGGATCGCTGTAGAGCGACGTCAATTAAGTGCCGTGCCGTGGGGGAGAGGAAAATTATTCGAGTACGCCTTCAGAATTCTTAATGGCTTCGGGACAGAGAAAAGAGGAAAGGGGGAGGGTGGGTAGAACAGCGATACCATCCGCGCGGTCTTTGCCGAGATGATACAAGTATGTCTGGCTGACTAAGCACTTCCTCAAAGAGAGAATTCGCGGCCGTAACTTGGCGAACTCTCGCCAATTATATTACGATCGTGAAAAAAATCAGCCATTCTCACCGGACTTGAAGTTTAAATCGAATACTCTTGTAAGCTTATCGAATGCAAAAAAACGTGCCGTAGTTCTTATGTAAAAATACGAAGTATTCGTTCTCACGCGATTCTCGTTACTCGACCTCATTTTTCCATGCCAATATTTTTCTCGCCCCCCCCCCCCCTCCGCAGCCGGTCGTGAAGGTGAGAGGAAGGGAGGGAAGGGTTAGGAGGGACAGAATAAGGGAATGGGGAGGGGTTGTGGACGTGGAGAGAGCGGAGTGCGGGTGGAAAAAGCGGGTTAGGAGGTTAAGCCGCGAATTAATCCAGCCGTCAGACGTGATGTCTAACTTGGTTGATGGTTTGTGCCCTGGCCCCGCCCCAACCCCGGCGTTGCCCCCCTGGCGTTGCCCTGCCGTTGCCCTGCCGTTGCCCTGCCCGGAACGACGGACCCCGACTCGATCGGCAAATGGACCACCACGACCCTACCAACAATCGACAACAACCACCAACCAACCACCAATGAACCAACCACCAACCACCATGGCCCAATCGACAGTACAAAGCCTCAATCATTGTACCCGATTGCCCCGGACCCGAACGGTAATGACCAACACCACTACTTAATGTTCTTATTTTTCTTTGTCTCTAATTACGAGGTACCTATTAAGACGCCTGCGGCGAGAGCAACGAATCTATTTTCTGTATACTCTATATACACCACTACTCTTTTCATCTCTTTCATAATCTATTGTGCTACTACTATTACTATTCTTCTTTCTCTTCTTCTATCTAATTATCTGTTTATCTGTCTAGAAAATCTGTCTTTCTATCTGTCTGTCCACTTGTTTATTTCTATTAATCTGTCTGTTTTTTGATATCATATTTTTATTTTATTGACATATTACGTGTTAACGCGGCAATCATCCATTCGACACTTTCGTTATTTATTATTTTCGTATTCTTTTACGTTTTTTTCTTTTCGTTTTTCACATTTTATCTCTTATGCGTGTCCTCTTGACTGTGTCGCATGGGATATATTGGAAGAAAGCAGACAAATGTTTCAAAAATATTCCGTAACGTTCTCACGGAACATAATAATTTTAAGTTTTATTTTTGTTAAAGTCTTCTTTTTTATTGTCGCGATCTCGACACCGTGAAAATCTACGCGATATTCTGTTAGCTTAAATAGCTTCTTAAAAGCTGCTTTTTGCGTGGTTTCGCCTTCAGGTAAAAAACCGATGATTTTACGAGTAAAAGCCGCAATTCAACATGTGCCGATGCACCTACCATCGCCGCGTACGATCGCACGAATCGTTCGTGATGAATCTCTCGCGCGTCGCGTCTCCCGCAAGATTATTCGTTGAAGAAATTGATTTAATTTGTTCTGTTTAATTGTGCAACGGAAAAAAGAAAAATTATTTCGGAGAGAACGTGTCGCCGGCAATTTCGTGATTTGGATTCTTTTGTAGAAACGACGCGAGGACACGTAGAAGAATATATATCTTTTTCCCTAGAGTTTTCGAATACGTGTGTAGCACTCGCGTGCATCCGTTTCTACACGGATTTGTGTATCTTATGTATGACCAGCGTGCTCTGCGTACAAAGATTTCGCTGATCTAACCGCACATACGAGTTCACTTATTTCTCTTTCTCTTTCACATCTTCCTTTTTTCTCGTATAATTTGTTATTTGTTGGTTTCTCCTGCGTAAGCGCCACACATAATAAGACGTGTGCGATATCACTCGACACCCACACACGTTTATACACACACGTACGATGTCGGGATATGTTTTAAACGGTGTTTGTGTAATATGTGGCTAACACGGAAGCTAATATGTGGTATGTGACGCACGTGGCCGTAAGGCCGGCTCAGTGTTAAGGGTTACGATTCAAGGTGTTGTTATCGCGTTGAAAAGCCAAACGTAATGTTAAGTGAGTGTTCTTGAAAGAGAAATGTCGAGATACGTTTTCTATTTCGGAATCAAAGACGAGAGCCAAATTTTGAAACGTCGTAATGATAAACTTAGAATATCTTTCCTTTTCGTAGTTGAAGCTAATACTTTCTTTCAACGCGACAAAATACCTTCACTCTTTAGAGATATTTCGGCCCGATAGATAATTGTTCCGTTGTAAGTCCTCCAACGTGATTAATTAACTTGTCAAGTCGAAAGTCATTACCGTCATTTTGCGTTGTGGATCTTTAGCGCGCGCGCGCGCGCGCGTTTATTCCGAGTACCCTCAGAAAGATATTTTAATAATTTGCACCGGTTATACTTGATCGTTCACATCATCGTGGTCGATTATTGGCGATTACTATATATTACACCTCAATTCGCACACTCGACTGTCGTCTTCCTCTCTCAAGAAAGTATGTCGCGCGTACGAACGCAGGTATTACCGGGAAATTTATCTTCGTCCTGGGATGGCAATAAATTTTTTTATCACCGACGGCGAAGCTCCTCGATGCCCTTAATGCGATTTTCATCCGAGACTGTACTGATCCGGCTGGGAATTTCGTCGTGATAAAGTACTTCGAAGTCGAGAACGATCCCTGGAACAATTTGCGCAATTACTACCGTCGCGATATAACGCCAATCGGACAAGCAGAAGCAAACGTTTGAGACAATTTCAGAAGTCAATATTGTCGGTTCGTTTAAAAACTTCTTTTAAATATAATTCTCATTTTTTTTTTTTTTAATACAATCAATATTGTTACTCGATTACTCTCTGATATCGCGTGAAGAATGGTCGAACAGATATATTTTTTCTACGCGTCCCATAAAACTGCGGTCCCTATAAAATATTCATCTATAAAATATTCACCTTAGAATTGTCGAGTGCCCTTCAACATTTTATATGCCAAGGAGATTTCTGACCGCCGATAGTATTCTCTTTCTCTTTCTGTCGCGTAGCAACATCAAACGCCATAATATGAACTCGCCGTTCGCGAATATACGTGCGTCTCCTGCGATTCTCGAAGGGATGACTTTCGACCAGCCAACCCCGTAGCTATCTGTATTATAACACTGTGATCCATCGTTTCGGAGTTTCTCTAGAAAACATCGCACTGATCAACTTGCGTCGAGTTACACGTCTCAGTTTCGACTCCCTTAATCGGGATTGTCGTTTTTCATTGCCGAAGTTGATCGGTGTAACCGTCTTGTTTTGTCCTCAAACTGGGCTAAGTAGGAAAAGTAACGGGTGATGGCAGCTTTCGCCAATCGTTTGAGAAACGCCGCTGGCTAGGGGAAAATCCCTAAGGGCGCGCGTATGCGAATAAATTAATAAATTAACATATAACAAACATTTGCATCTTTAAACACGAAACGAAGCTAGCCAAAGTCGCAAGGTGACGTCTGCGCAATCACGTTGCGCAGGAAAGCGATCGTTTTTTTTTTTTCTTTTTTTCTTTTTTTCGTCAAGAGCGCGAATACTCACGGGTTAAATCGTCAATCGGATGCTTCTCCCGCGGATAGAATCGATAGAACGTCAAAAAGAGCGCGTGCGGAACTTACGTGATACGTATATCCAATCGAGGAAGATACGTGGCTTCGGAACGCGTTACAACGAGAAAGTAGAACGGAAGTGGACGACGAGGAACGGGAAAGAGGAGCGGAAAGGCGAGGAGAGACGGACTCTTTTCGTCTATTTCCTCATATTAGCCGGGGATGGATTCGTGCCGATCGTCGTCTCGGAAAGTTGTTCCGCGTTTGTTCTCGATAGCGGGAATTCTTGGCGCGTTTCTTCAGGATCGCATAGGGAAAGGGTCACCCGAACACCCGTCGTTCTCCTTTTCAAAACCCCGAATGTGTATGGAATAACCGAATAAAGAAAAGGGGAAGAAAAATAAGTAAACCGCCAATCAATTCCATATCTTCCGATTATCGTAATTCGAGAGGAAGGAATTATCAATTTCGTAGCAAAACAACGGAGCACTTCGGGGCTCTCGGGTCCGCCGAGAGACAAATTATACGCTTTTATACGGGAGTGACGTTAAGAGAAGGAAGACGCGCGCTGTTCGAGTCTCTCGTCTCTGTATCTCGCCGTATTCTCTCGTTTTATCGAGCGACGACGATTCGGCCGAGGAGGAAGAGAATCGGTATTGTCCGCTATCGGTGCAATTGGACCGGCGGTGTTTTCCATGACGCGTAATTCGCCCCGATGGGGACGTACGGCCGTAAACGCGATCGTTCTGATCGCGCGATACGATTGCGGTCGAATGGATGTAGGTCGGGAAAATACCGTGAGGCCGAATCTAGTCCGAGCTTACGGTCGATCGCCGTGGCGCCGCGATTGCACGCGATCCCAACACGATTTCGCAAGCCGTCGGCTCTCGTACGTGACGAAACTGCTGGCGGTACGCGTCGTACGCTCGGAGGCCGGATGTCTTCGTAACGCAATAAATTTCAACGCCCTAGTGACGTTCGTAATTTCTGCGGGATGCAGTCGGCGGGGTCGGATTTATCAAGCGGCTAAAGATTTACGGCGGCTCTTCGACGGACATTCGGTAATCTACCGATACCGTATGTTGCCAGCTTGTTGTCAAAAAAAAAAAAAAAAAAAAAAATATATTCTTTTACGGCGTCCTAATCGCGAAGCTAATCGGGAAATCCACCGATGCGTGCTGCAACGGTTGGTTAACGAAGAACCAACCGGGTGTTAACCGGGTGGTCGCGCATCCGCGTTCGAAATTAATTTCGTAGCGCAACACCATTAGCCGCGCGCGGTGTCCGAATATCGAGCGCGATACATGGCTGCCGCTAAATTTTTATCGACTTGCACAATGCGCAAATGTGCATCATCGCGCGCGATGTTATCATTGAGTGCAGATGCCGTTGTAACTTTGTCCGATTC